TAAAAGGAAAAAAACAGAAAACAAATCTTAATAAAAGTTTTTAACAAAAATGAAAAAATTTGTTTTGGTGTGTTTTTTTTTCTTCTTCTTCTTCTTATCATGTGACCCATAGAACCAAAAAAATATGTGTGAGTTTGTTTTACGTGTGTGTTTCCCTCCTCCCATCTCCCGTTTGGAAGGCTTTTAAGGGAGACACTTCTACTCTCATCCAAAAACAAACTCAGGTTTGCCAGACACTACTGGAACTTCAAATGGGATGGGGTCCTATGGCTGGATTAAACTAAAATAGGTGTGTTTGGTGCACACAGAGCGGAAAGGTACCTTATGCCCACGGTTAAATATGGTGATGGCTATTTAATGTTTTGTGGTTTTTTTTTTTGTTTTTTTTTAATGCACTGACTACCTCAGCCAGAAAGCTTAAAGTGGCCCGTGGTGGGCTCTTCCAGTAGGACAATGATCCAAAACATACATCAAAATCAACACAAAATGGTTTACTGGCCACAAAATCAAGGTCCTGCTATGGCCATCCTTGAGCCCTATAGAAACCTATGGGGTGAACTGAAGAAGAGAGTCCACCAGTGTTGACCTCGCAACTTGAAGGATCTGGAGAGATTCTGTATAGCGGTTAAACATCAGACATTTCACACATCCTTCTTTACACAATAACAAAGGCTGTCAATATTAGTGGAGGGCACTGTATGGCTAAAGCATTATTTACTATGGCGACCAGTGACTCTCCATTACCGCTGCTTGAGCAAATGCTTCCAAAAACTGTTTAACATTTGACTCTGGCACTATAATCACTTAATTGACTCGAAATGGTTTTGGTGTCCAGTGTGCTTTTAAAGGGACACTGTAGGCATCCAGACCACTTCAGCTCATTGAAGTAGTCTGGGTGATGTGACCCTTTTGCACTTAGTGCTGCAATGGAAAACGTTACAATTCCAGAGAATTGCAATGTTTACATTGCAGTTCTAAGTCTGCCCCCAGTGCCTGTCTATCAGACTGCCACTAGAGGGCTTCCGGAATCCAAACTGACTTTTGGTCCGTTATCTGAAAGTGGACGTTCTCACGGACCTCCAGCGTCAGATTTTCCCTATAGGAAAGCATTGAATAATGCTTTCCTATGGGGAGGTCAAATGTCCACGCCATTGCTGCGCATGCACATTAGATCTCCCCCTGCCTGCTGACATCAGCGGGGGAGGAGCCTGACCCAGTGCCTAGGGACAGAGGCACTGGATTCAGGTAAGTAGCTGATGTGGTTTTAACCCCTTCAGCATTGCGGGAAGGGGGCACTCCAGGAGTCAATAGTGCCAGGAAAACGGTTTTGTTTTCCTGGCACTATAGGATCCCTTTAAGCATGGTCCTGGCTTTAATACAATATTTACTTATTTCTCTTGGGTATCTAGAGGAGTGGGTACAAGCTCATATGATCTATTACATTTGCCAGGTTACCCTCTTTAAAGCAAATCAAAATATGCAAAGACCCCCAAGGGTGACATACGCACTTGGTGTGTGGTCGCTGGGAGGGGATGAAACTAAAGCTATTTATTTTGAGGGCACCTCCATGTTCTTTGTTCAGCTCCTGGCACTTCATCCACCTCGAGCAAATTTAATTAGGATGTCGGCGAACGTGTTCTGTCTTTTGTCAACCTGGACTTTGCATTAGACAGAGTACTGTTTGCTTTTAGGATCTAGTGCAGTCAAGAAGATGGTTTGGTGAATATTTTATCTTGAAATACTCATAAAGTGACCAGGTGTAAACATTTAAAGGGACACGATAGACATCCAGACCATGTAATTTCATTGAAGTGTTCTGCGTGCACTGTCCCTGCTCCATTAACCCTCCAACAATGAAAGAAATGGGTTAAGACTGCCTCTAGTGGCTGTCAACTATATGGGATGAGGAGGAAGCTAGTGGTGGAAACCATGACTCACTTTTCATGTATTTTTAAATCCTGATTCTAAAGTTGTCCTGGTTTAGAATTTACACACAGAGCTATTAGGGGACAACGTAAATCTTCAATTTAGCAGCTTGTAAATATAGCGAGTTTTGGAACAATTAAACTACCGGTAACCTAAATAAATATTTATTTTTACATATAAAGTAGATAACCTTCACAGCAACAGCACATGCTTCAATTATCCTACAGGAAACAAATATATCAGCCATGAAGATGTGTTAATTCAAAAGAGGATAATACGTGTCTAATTACATCCTTCTACTGGATCATTGTGTGGTGTATCTATACACAATCTGTCCTTAGGGGAACGGTCCCAAGATCATTGTGTGGTGTATCTATACACAATCTGTCCTTAAAGGGGAACGGTCCCAGGATTTTTAATATCGTGTCCATCTTTTCCTGTATTTAACAAAAATGTATTTCTGATGTGTAAAAATTACAATGAGATGTAGAAATCCACACTAATGTGCTGTGTACCAGACAGTCAGCATAGAAAGAGCAGACTGCCTTGTCTAAACTAGATTATGACATCATCTGTTAAATCTTTAACTTTAGAACACAATGCAGCATCTCATAATTAAAAGGTTAAAGGTGATTTTTAATATTTTATTGAATGGAGTTAATTCCAGAGATGTGACAGTTTCTCTTTAAATGAAGAATGAAAATGGAAGAAAGAGCTAGGGTTGGTGATATCCCTAGCCACAGATTTATTTTATGGTCTAAAAATCAAACTTTTATTATTAATCCAAATGTATATTTTGACATCTTATTGCTACCCACCTTCAACACCGTCCCAAATACAGCTATTATCTACATTTCAAATAGCTCTGGTCACATAAAGGGACACTATAGGCACCCAGACCACAATCTCGTTGAAGTGGTCTGGGTGCAGTGTCCCAGTGCCCTTAACACTGGAATTGTAATTACTGTGGTTATTGAGAAACTGCAATAATTACCTTTCAGGGTTAACTCCACCTCTAGTGGCTGTCTACCAAACAGCCACTAGAGGTGCTTCCTCTGTTTAGCTGACCCTGGACTTCCTCTGGCTTTACATTAGAACATCCAGAACATTAGAACATCCAGCGTCAGCTAAAACCCCATAGGAAAGCATTGATTCAATTATTTCCTATGGGGAAATCATAATACGATTACGGCGCTTGCTATGCACGCGCATAAGGTCCCCCTCTAGCTTGGAGGAAAGACGAGACAGGGGGAAATTACAAATATTTAAATACATAAAGGGAGTAAGTAAAGGAGGAGACTATATTCAAAAGAAGAAAAACTACCACAACAAGAGGACATAGTCTTAATTTAGAGGGACAATGGTTTAAAAATAATATCAGGAAGTATTACTTTACTGAGAGAGTAGTGGACGCATGGAATAGCTGTCCAGCTGAAGTGGTAGAGGTTAACACAGTAAAGGAGTTTAAGCATGTGTGGGATAGGCATAAGGCTATCCTAACTATAAGATAAGGCCAGGGACTAATGAAAGTATTTAGAAAATTGGGCAGACTAGATGGGCCGAATGGTTCTTACCTGCCGTCACATTCTATGTTTCTATAGTTTTCCTTTAAATACATGCTTAGCCTGTCTGCTGCTCTCATTTACTGCCTCTCGCACAGCGATTATAGAATTATTATTTATATAGCGCCACCAGATTCCGAGAATGAAAGCATTTGATAGTTCAGCCATATTTAAGATACTGTGTGTAGGTTGCTTACATTTAGACTATATCAATATAATATATAACAGTGCGTTCGAAATGGCAGGTGAAAGGGAGCTGGGCTCATGTTTACCAAGTGTAGATCGATTTCGTTTGTTGCAATTTAACAGTTTATGCCATGTAGCAGCCTGTAGGGGGCTGAACATGCAACAGCTGCCCCTCTTAAATTAAAGCAGAGTTCACACAGATTGGAGAAAATGGAGTCAGATTTGCATTAAAAAAACAAAAACAAACGAACAACAATAGAAACAACAAAAAAAATACTTGTGCATGTGGTTTCAAATGAATCACAATTTGTACGAATTCCGCAACTCCTAAATGCCATATGACCAAACCAAACCTGCAATTTAATTTGTTTTGAGTTCTGTCCATGGAAAAGGGAGAGTGAATGGGAAAAAACAAACAAAATGACTGGGGTTGGGAGCGTGCGGGAAATAAGCAGTTTAGGCTGCAATGATGGTTAGGGATCCGCCACTAAATGATGATTATATTTACTCAGCGACCAACAGAGGGAAGAACAGTTAAAGTTTCCGCATTGCATTACACTAACAACATTTTCAGTCCGATGAAATTCAGTCAAACCAAAACCCACAAGGACGAAACTTGGTTTATACGATGGGGAAAAAATATATATTTTTTGAGAGAATCAAATATTTTTTTTCTGTGCACAAGTCGAATATACATCATACTGGAATAAAACATTCGTGAACGTTTTGAAGCTTGATCAGTCAAATGAACGCGTTTTCCTTCCCAGGTACTTTTTCCTTGCTACATGGGGTTTCCCTACTTTGTCTGCACCCTTCCTCAGCACCACTAACATGCACAGTGTGCGTTATCAACATGTCGACTGGTGATGTTATAGTGCATCAAACTCAGCCGAATTCTCCAGAATTATTGGCAGCGGCCTTTGAGGAACAATATACTTAAAAATGAAAACCGAACAGTTCCTCTAAGCGCGTGCTACCGATATTGTGTTTTATTATTTAACGCTGCTTTTAATGCGATAATCAATATGTATTATAATATTAATTTGTATCACACGTTTAATATGTGTCGTCCCCTCGCAAAATTGATCACAGACATAACACACACGGCAGTACCAGACAATACAAAAATATTTTATTTTGGCTTGCACAGTATGTTTAGTAGGTAAATGGCAGTTTTGTGTTGCAGTCCTGCAGACTAATGTCATCATAGACTGCATGTTCCTCTGCAATGACACGAATGACCTTTAATAATAATAAAAAAAATCCACATCCACGTTTGCTACGTTATAGCGTCACCCAAAGCGACACGCTCTCTGGATACAGCGTTCAAAGCACCAACAACAGGATCAGCACAATTATGAGAGCGATCACCAATGCAATAATCATACACCACTGCCGGCGGTCTGCAGACACAGAGAAAGAGAGAAGGGGTTATGGCTACTACCTTTTTAATGGCTGCATAGCAACATCTGGCACTCCTAAAATGACTAGAGGTATACGATCATCACTGCTACATAGATACTACGGGACGAGGGGGAGGGAGAAAATCCTGGAAATTTAGGGAAAAGCCTTCAAGCATGCTCTTATAGAGAGTGTATGGAAGATCTCAACAAGACGTATCCTGGACATTTGTTGCAATTTTGTTCTTTAAGGTTTGATATCCTGATAGCTTAGTGTGTAATGCTGGTTTGAAACCTATCAGGATCAAAGAAACTTTACATCCATTCCAATGTTATATTGATGAAATAATTAAATTTTTTAAATCTTTATGATCATTTATTCAATATGCACTCAGAGGGTTTAGCTGTATAGAAGTTCATTTATAGTGTTAATCAGCCCTCACCGGTTGTCATGTGAGAAACTTTGGCCAGTCTCTTGAGCACCGAGTCCATTCGCGTCTGAGTATTATCCATTTCGTGCGAGAAATCCTCCAACATCCTGCGAGAAGCAATACGAGTTACAGGCGGTGATAAGGGCCACGGCGTCATGGAAGGGACACACGATGTAACCCGCAGAATATGCAACCATACATGCAATCAAAGACGGGCATAGAATAGCCTCACAATAACATGTAACCCCACACTCACACAGCTTGCTCATCCAACTCATCTCCTATCCGTCCAGACATGTTTTTCAGGACCCGGATGCTGCCGGTTACCAGCTCGAGCTCCGCGTCCTGCTCATCTATAATCAGCTGTTGGAATACAGAGTATGCATTTCAATGTACTTATTATTGATACTTATTCCACAGTCCTGCACACATAGAGCAGTTTATCAGTCTGTGTTATGATAACCATATACCAGAGACGGACAAACCTGCAGAGAGACTCTCTCCAAATAACATTCTGCTATCTACCTACCTACACGTTGGCTGCAGTTTATGTTGTTCTGGTAAGTGACAGAGTTGGAAAGTTTAGATCTAATTAACCAAGATGGATAAATAGAACCTCACACATCATTCTAGCGGTTGCACCTGAGTGGCCGCCGGGAAGGCTCTTTGTGTTAACAATCTGGGATTTCTGCCAAGGTAAATATGTTGAGATTTAGTGTGAAACGCCACACAAGGCAGCCTGCCACAATATAAATGTAGTGTTAGAAAGTGTAAACACTGGCCCACATCTCCAGGTCAAAGTCCAGTACTGGCTACGGTGCATTGAGCACTCATTATTTGTGAGTGTTTTGTAGCAGGGGTATCCGACAATGGTAACTTATTTGTTGGACTACATTTCCCATAATACTCTGCCAGCTGATAGGAATTCTCTGCCAGAATTCTAGGAAATGTATTCCAAAAAGTGCCAAACTTGGGAATTCCAAGATTGGAGGTTGATACCAGGACAGGTGACTTTTTTTCTATGCATTGTGCTCCTTTAAAACCAAATTCTGCTCTTAGACCTTGTCCTACAGAGTAAGATGTTCAGCAAGTCATCGCTTGCACATCAATATATCAAAATGCCAAAAAGACCTTATACTGACCTTCACCTGTTTATGTGAACTGATATTTATATTTACTGAATCTACTACCAATCTAAAGGTGAACTTGTAATCTGTGCAGTTTGTGGATGGCCAGCTCAATCGACACACAAAATATCCCGATTAGTTAGAATCAAGACATTTCGTGGAGCTTAAACAGTTCATATCCGTGGACAGTAAAAATCAGCTAAACCTCCATTCTGCATCGTGTTACAAAAGTTACCAACCTGTTGCTGAGCCTGCTGATCTTCAACGTAACGAGAGTTCCCAGCGACCATTTCATCGTCCATACGAGTAAAGCGGTCAGAAGGTTGCTTAGCGGTAACTCCCAAAGCCTGTGATAGGAGAGAGAAAGTGTAGTGGTAGGAAAGGACACAGGACAGGCCAGCAGGGGGCACGAGAGTTAAATAAGAATTATATTACCTCTCTAGTCTTCCGTTCGGTGAAAGCCACAACTCTGGGGCTCGATATATGATCTCTCATTTCCTAAACAACCAGAGAGAATAATGATAAATGGGGCAGGAGAACCATGAGGCATGCGTATCGATGCACAGAGATGAAAACATCAGTAGGATTGGCGCAGGATAATAGGATTTAAAAAAAACAACAAATAACGTACCTTTACTGAGCTCCGTGTCTGATCCACAAAGCTCCTTCTTTCACTCAGTTCTGTCCCAGATATTTTAAACTTCCTTGGGTTCGATTCCACAATGCCCAAGATACGAGTAAAAGACAATACGGAACAGCAGAAAAGTGATATAAAGAGAGCATAATGCTTCATGTTGTAAGGTACAGTGTAAGGGTGATTGCCCGGGTTTATCCATGACAACCAGACTAGGTGAGAACTGACAATGTGAAGTGCAACAAAACTGCAAAAACTCCAACTCAGCTATTCTCCTTGATCAGCTACTTTGTCTATTCCCTTCTCAGTTCTCTAACTCCCAGTTTAGTAAACAGACTACACAATAAGAAGTGCCATTCTTTTGTATGCCTTGTATGGATACCGACCTTAAAAAGCAAAGATCCATCTCCCTTATATACCAGGAGCTGCTCGGCTCTCTTGGAAAAGTGCCTTTCCCATACATGGCGAGGTGGCATGAAACTATAGGGGAGGAACTCTCTCAACGAGCACTGGCAGCACATCCGGGAGGCTAATGCCAAGCTCTCTCTATGTGTCTCCCATAAAGAACAGGAATATAAAACTCTATTCCAATGGTACCTTACGCCTGTACGCAAATCAAACAGGTGTTGGAGGGGATACGGCAAGACGAGGGTATATTGTCATTAATGGTGGGAATGCCCATGCCTACAACCACACTAGATACAAGTGGCTTCATGGCTATTCCAAGCCTTAGATAAACCTATACACCCAAACCCACGGTCCTTCTCTCCAGTACCATTACTATTTTTTAAGCAAAAAGGGAAACAGTGCAGGTTCAGAGAGGTGAGGAAAGGGTGGGCTTGTGACAAAACAACCAAACAAAAACATAAAGCATTTAACAAAACAAACCCACCCAGTATATTAACTGTAACCTAACCTACACAGTGCACCTAACGTGTGTGGGAGCCTGGAGTGTCCCTTTAATAATATAAACCCACCCAGTATAACTAACTGTAACCTAACCTACACAGTGCATCTAACGTGTGTGGGAGCCTGGAGTGTCCCTTTAATAATATAAACCCACCCAGTATAACTAACTGTAACCTAACCTACACAGTGCACCTAACGTGTGTGGGAGCCTGGAGTGTCCTTTAATAATATAAACCCACCCAGTATAACTAACTGTAACCTAACCTACACAGTGCATCTAACGTGTGTGGGAGCCTGGAGTGTCCCTTTAATAATATAAACCCACCCAGTATAACTAACTGTAACCTAACCTACACAGTGCACCTAACGTGTGTGGGAGCCTGGAGTGTCCCTTTAATAATATAAACCCACCCAGTATAACTAACTGTAACCTAACCTACACAGTGCACCTAACGTGTGTGGGAGCCTGGAGTGTCCCTTTAATAATATAAACCCACCCAGTATAACTAACTGTAACCTAACCTACACAGTGCATCTAACGTGTGTGGGAGCCTGGAGTGTCCCTTTAATAATATTTAACTGTAATACCTACACAACCTAACAGCCCGGTATAACTAACTGTAACCTAACCTACACAGTGCATCTACCGTGTGTGGGAGCCTGGAGTGTCCCTTTAATAATATAAACCCACGCAGTATAACTAACTGTAACCTAACCTACACAGTGCACCTAGCGTGTGTGGGAGCCTGGAGTGTCCCTTTAATAATATAAACCCACCCAGTGTAACTAACTGTAACCTAACCTACACAGTGCATCTAACGTGTGTTGGAGCCTGGAGTGTCCCTTTAATAATATAAACCCACCCAGTATAACTAACTGTAACCTAACCTACACAGTGCATCTAACGTGTGTGGGAGCCTGGAGTGTCCCTTTAATAATATAAACCCACCCAGTATAACTAACTGTAACCTAACCTACACAGTGCACCTAACGTGTGTGGGAGCCTGGAGTGTCTCTTTAATAATATAAACCCACCCAGTATAACTAACTGTAACCTAACCTACACAGTGCACCTAACGTGTGTTAGGAGCCTGGAGTGTCCCTTTAATAATATAAACCCACCCAGTATAACTAACTGTAACCTAACCTACACAGTGCCCCTAACGTGTGTGGGAGCCTGGAGTGTCCCTTTAATAATATAAACCCACCCAGTATAACTGTAACCTAACCTACACAGTGTACCTAACGTGTGTTAGGAGCCTGGCGTGCCCCTTTAATAATATAAACCCACCCAGTATAACTAACTGTAACCTAACGTACACAGTGCACCTAACGTGTGTGGGAGCCTGGAGTGCCCCTTGAATAATATAAACCCACCCAGTATAACTAACTGTAACCTAACCTACACAGTGCACCTAACGTGTGTGGGAGCCTGGAGTGTCCCTTTAATAATATAAACCCACCCAGTATAACTAACTGTAACCTAACCTACACAGTGCACCTAACGTGTGGCAGCCTGGAGTGTCCCTTCAAGGATACTGATTGTTTCTTCCAGGTCCTCAAGATCCCATTCAATGCTCCTCAGTGAATTCCTAAGTTCATTGGTTGTCCAATCAAACTCCTCCACACTGGTCACATGACTCTCCTGAAGTAGCTCGCACCAGCGCTGGTACAGACCCCGACTGGTGTTCAGTGCTTTCTGCACCTCACTGCGGTGGTGGAAAATAGACAGTGCATAAAAAAAATGAAAAAAATAAGTCTTGAAAGGTGCACTTAAGATTTAACAATTACGCCAAAATATTTAAAGGGACACTATAGTGTCAGGAAAACAAACATGTTTTTCTGACACTATACTTGCGGAATACATCATTAGGCCCCTGGCCCCCTATCTGTGAAGATTAAAGATAGTATACGTATCTTTTCTCCAAAGTCATGCTGGCCCAGCCTCCATGGCTGAGATCATCAATCTTGATTAGCATCTCCTCATAGAAATGCATTCAATCAATAAATTTCTATGAGGAAGGTTTAGAATTTCTGCATTCTGCATAGAGGCGCTGAACACCAGTACTGCACACTGTGCAGCACTGAGATAGGAAGCACCTCTAGTGGCCGTCTGAGAGACCGCCACAAAAGTTGTTACTAGGCAGCAATGTAAACACTGCTTTCTCTCTGAAATGTCAGTGTTCACAGTGCTAAGTGAGCAGTAACAGTCTATAGACACCAGAACTAAAACATTAAGCTGTAGTGGTTCTTGTGACTATAGTGTCCCTTTAATTAGTCTTTTTTCCCATCTATTAAAGGATTTATGCTTGAAATATTGCACATATATTAGGTATTTGCACTGTGTGCTGGGGCTAATTAAAATATTGACACACAAGACTTTGGCAGCCTGGAAACCAAATGTCAGTTCTGTGCAAAAATAAGGAATTAATCATTAAAAAATAAAACTGTCAGAAAAGGGTTGCAGTAAACCTTTAAGACTAGAAATCAAATATTTCAGAAAATGTTATTAAAATTTTTAGACTCGCAACTCTTCCAAATTTGGCTAATATGGTAAATGTGCGTACCCTCTTCAATTCCCAGTCACTCACAACTAAGTGAATTATCCGTAGGATATCGTAAATTATATAAAAGCTCACCTCAACTGTTTCTGCAATACTTTGAAAATAAATTAGAAAAAGTAAAATTAATAAATGTATCACAGTTATGCTTTTTGCAAATAGAAGAGGGAACACAGATTTTACACAACATTAGCCAAACTGGAAGATGTTTTTTTCAAGCTATTTTCATCTAATTTTTTTAAATGATTTTGTCAGTTCTTCATGATTCTTTGCAGGTAAGGTGAAGGCTGTTATTACACATTTTACAAACTGCTGATCTGTTCTTGAAAAAAATATAAAGTAGCCTTTCGTAGTCAGACAAAGAAGAGGTGTCTGTATCAATCAACAGAGACCCCACTACAACTCCCAGGATCACCAGACAGCAAAACATACAAACCTACTCACCTTCTGACCACAGAGAAAGGATCCTCCAGGGACATTTTGAGAAGTGGTTCTCCTCAGTATCCCTGTAACTTGGCTCACACTCCCTTGTCCCTGGAGCTTACAATCTATATAACTCTCCAATGCTTCCAGAGCACCATAGCTTGGCAGAGGACCCTATACAGCCCTGTACTATCTGTATATATATCTCTATTTTATTACTGACAGCTCTCTCACAGCCCTGTACTATCTGTATATCTCTATTTTATTACTGACAGCTCTCACAGCCCTGTACTATCTGTATATCTCTATTTTATTACTGACAGCTCTCACCACAGCCCTGTACTATCTGTATATCTCTATTTTGTACTGCTTGGCCTCCTCTCAAAACTGTACCTATCTGTATATCTCTAATTTTGCATTACTGACAGCTCTCTCACAGCCCTGCACTATCTGTATATCTCTATTTTATTACTGACAGCTCTCTCACAGCCCTGCACTATCTGTATCTCTCTATTTTATTACTAGCAGCTCTCTCACAGCCCTGTACTATCTGTATATCTCTATTTTATTACTGACAGCTCTCTCACAGCCCTGTACTATCTGTATATATATATATATTTATTGACTCATTACTAGATGGTCCACACACCTTAGCTGTGCTTTTGTGCAGGGTGTGTGTAATGGGGTTTCTATGGCTATTTACAGATATTATATTTAATATTGTATAGAAAAGTAAGAGCTGCTTGTCCCAGCCCTGGGCTGCCCAGATCCTGAGTTGTGTCCATAATATATTTTAATTATATACCCTGGCTGGGCTTCTATTACTTTCTGTTACCCCCTTTCAATCACTGATCCATACTCTCCTCTGCTTCCAGTTGTCAATTCTATTTCCGCCCTCCCTGTGCACAAACACCCACATGCTTCCTGTCTGACGCGCAGTGCGCTTGGGAGTTGTAGTGTCTGGTGAAGGTGAAAGACATCACTTCCGGCGGCTGCCTGTCGGTGATACAACAGCCAGTGAGCATGTGCTCAGTCTGGTGTTACTCCCCCCAGCGTGCAGCCAGAGTACAGGTTATCAGTCTGGTGCTTTCCCTCCAGCATGCAGCCAGGGAGATACAGGTTATCAGTCTGGTACTCCCCCCAGCGTGCAGCCAGGGAGATACACGTTATCAGTCTGGTACTCCCCCCAGCATACAGCCAGGGAGATACAGGTTATCAGTCTGGTACTCCCCCCAGCGTGCAGCCAGGGAGATACAGGTTATCAGTCTGGTACTCCCCCCAGCGTGCAGCCAGGGAGAGACAGGTTATCAGTCTGGTACTTCCTCCAGCGTGCAGCCAGGGAGATACAGGTTATCAGTCTGGTACTCCCTCCAGCATGCAGCCAGGGAGATACAGGTTATCAGTCTGGTACTCCCTCCAGCATGCAGCCAGGGAGATACAGGTTATCAGTCTGGTACTCCCCCCAGCGTGCAGCCAGAGAGATACACGTTATCAGTCTGGTACTCCCCCCAGCATACAGCCAGGGAGATACAGGTTATCAGTCTGGTACTCCCTCCAGCGTGCAGCCAGGGAGATACAGGTTATCAGTCTGGTACTCCCCCCAGCGTGCAGCCAGGGAGATACAGGTTATCAGTCTGGTACTCTCCCCCAGCGTGCAGCCAGGGAGATACAGGTTATCAGTCTGGTACTCCCCCCAGCGTGCAGCCAGGGAGATACAGGTTATCAGTCTGGTACTTCCTCCAGCGTGCAGCCAGGGAGATACAGGTTATCAGTCTGGTACTCCCCCCAGCGTGCAGCCAGGGAGATACAGGTTATCAGTCTGGTACTCCCTCCAGCATGCAGCCAGGGAGATACAGGTTATCAGTCTGGTACTCCCTCCAGCATGCAGCCAGGCAGATACAGGTTATCAGTCTGGTACTCCCCCCAGCGTGCAGCCAGGGAGATACAGGTTATCAGTCTGGTACTCCCCCCAGCATGCAGCCAGGGAGATACAGGTTATCAGTCTGGTACTCCCTCCAGCGTGCAGCCAGGGAGATACAGGTTATCAGTCTGGTACTCCCCCCAGCGTGCAGCCAGGGAGATACAGGTTATCAGTCTGGTACTCCCCCCAGCGTGCAGCCAGGGAGAGACAGGTTATCAGTCTGGTACTTCCTCCAGCGTGCAGCCAGGGAGATACAGGTTATCAGTCTGGTACTCCCTCCAGCATGCAGCCAGGGAGATACAGGTTATCAGTCTGGTACTCCCTCCAGCATGCAGCCAGGGAGATACAGGTTATCAGTCTGGTACTCCCCCCAGCGTGCAGCCAGAGAGATACACGTTATCAGTCTGGTACTCCCCCCAGCATACAGCCAGGGAGATACAGGTTATCAGTCTGGTACTCCCTCCAGCGTGCAGCCAGGGAGATACAGGTTATCAGTCTGGTACTCCCCCCAGCGTGCAGCCAGGGAGATACAGGTTATCAGTCTGGTACTCTCCCCCAGCGTGCAGCCAGGGAGATACAGGTTATCAGTCTGGTACTCCCCCCAGCGTGCAGCCAGGGAGATACAGGTTATCAGTCTGGTACTTCCTCCAGCGTGCAGCCAGGGAGATACAGGTTATCAGTCTGGTACTCCCCCCAGCGTGCAGCCAGGGAGATACAGGTTATCAGTCTGGTACTCCCTCCAGCATGCAGCCAGGGAGATACAGGTTATCAGTCTGGTACTCCCTCCAGCATGCAGCCAGGCAGATACAGGTTATCAGTCTGGTACTCCCTCCAGCATGCAGCCAGGGAGATACAGGTTATCAGTCTGGTACTCCCCAGCGTGCAGCCAGGGGAGATACACGTTATCAGTCTGAGTACTCCCCAGCATACAACCAAGGAGATACGGGTTATCAGTCTGTTCTCCCTCAGCGTGCAGCCAGGGAGACTGGGTTATCAGTCTGGTACTCCCAGCGTGCAGCCAGGGGAGTCTAATCAGTGTCTGGTACTCCCCCAGCGTGCAGCCAGGGGAGATACAGGTTATCAGTCTGGTACTCCCCCCAGCATGCAGCCAGGGAGATACAGGTTATCAGTCTGGTACTCCCTCCAGCGTGCAGCCAGGGAGATACAGGTTATCAGTCTGGTACTCCCCCCAGCGTGCAGCCAGGGAGATACAGGTTATCAGTCTGGTACTCCCCCCCAGCGTGCAGCCAGGGAGATACAGGTTATCAGTCTGGTACTCCCCCCAGCATGCAGCCAGGGAGATACAGGTTATCAGTCTGGTACTCCCCCCAGCATGCAGCCTGGGAGATACAGGTTATCAGTCTGGTACTCCCTCCAGCATGCAGCCAGGGAGATACAGGTTATCAGTCTGGTACTCCCTCCCCCCAGCGTGCAACCAGGCAGACACAGGTTATCAGGCTGGTACTCCCTCCAGACGCATGTTTAAAGGAATATTGTGTGTGTATACAGTGATCAGCCACTAACATGTGAAGTGAATAGGATTAATTATATCAATATAATGGCTCCTGTCAAGGGTGGGATATAATGGGCAGAGAGTGAACAGTCAGTTCTTGTATTTCATGTGTAGGAAGCAGGGAGAATGGAAAATGAAAAGATCCAACTAACTGACAACTGGGTCAGAGCATCTCCGGAACGGCAATTGTTGTGGGGTGTTCCCGGTACGCAGGGGTTAGTACCTACCAAAAGTGGTACAAGGGCTATCGGATATTCACTTCAGCTGTCAGTGGGTTTAATGTTGTGGCTGATCAATGTATGCTGTCCTACATTAAACTAACCTGATGCTAGGTTAGTAGATCTGTACTGAAATATCATCCAATTAAATTACTCCTGATGGACATGTGATAAATCTATTGGGTCCTGATTATCCTACAATTGGTTTACATTTTTCCATAAACGTACTTTTTCTAACATTAGAGAAAGTGTGACTGTTTTAACCTAAATTTTTCAATTCCGTTTTCAATTCACTAGACGTCAGTGTTGTCATTGCTTCTTATAAAATGGGAAGTGACACTCGAATCATCTCATAATGTATCCTGTGTCTGATGAAAGACGCCTGTAACCACCTGTTCTATAAATACACCATTATGTTTCACTGGAAATTCTTACACACCTGCAATGAACACTACAGCTCCTAATGATGCTTTGCTAGCCAGGGGAACCGTGGGGAATTCCTCTTTCCCAATGCTGCGTATGCACCCTATTGCCATGATGGAGACAATGCCGCCTCCAAACTTCATTACATAAACCTAAGATCTTACTCTATCCTTATCATTACAGGATAGCCCCATGTTCTATAAAATTCCTTCTGGATAAACATTTCTACAGCCGCAAAGTAATATTTTGTTGATATACTCGGCTTCGAGTTACCCAGTTTCAGTGTTACCCCGTAGAAGGTATGCTCCTGAATCTGCCCTCTAATTCAAAATTCGACGGATAAAATGAAATTACTCAGTGTAACATTACCTGCTAAAAACCACCGACTTCGTAAAAACTCCTTTCTCTTGGGCAAAATCTTGATTATAATCGTGTCATTTCTATGTCCCTCGGTGATCTTTGCACCATTTTGGGGGTCTGCCCTCCTACTGGCATCAATTTTGCCCCCGGATTCTGTTCTGACAAACCAACTTTACTTGCGTCATGCTGAGGACGACTGGACAGCAATGTCTCTTTCAACTCACTTGTATGTTTTGGAGACGCAGAAATTATGACACTTAAACCACCTATATAAACCCTATCCTTGCGTGGTTGACCCCTGTAGTGGATTTCATTTGGTCGATATCATTTACAATATTTGCTGTATTCTCTGGTTTTGGCATTGGGTAGTCCACGTTTTTGCACCTTTCTGTAATCCTGAGCCAGTTCGCTTATCCAACTCTAGGCTTGTCTCCGTTTATGAGTTTCTCTTTCCTGTTTGAAGGTCCTTTTGGTTAAAGGGACACTGTAGGCACCCAGACCACTTCAGCTCATTGAAGTAGTCTGGTTGATGTGACCCTTTTGCACTTAGTAGTGCAATGTAAAACATTGCTGTTCCACAGAACTGCAATGTTTACTTTGCAGCTCTAAGTCTGCCCTCTGTGGTTGTCTAACCGACAGCCACTATAGGGCTCCCAGAATCCAAACTGACTTTTGGTCCGTTATCTGACGCTGGACGTCCTGACGGACCTGCAGCGTCAGGCTTCCCCCTTATGAAAGGATTGAATAATGCTTTCCTATGGGGAGGTCTAATGCGCGCTGCCATTGCCGCGCATGAGCATTAGGTCTCCCCCACCGGCTGACGTCAGCGGGGGAGGAGCATGGGCGGAGCCTGGTGCTGGATCCACGTAAGTAGTGAAAGGGTTTTAACCCCTTCAGCCCTCTGGGAGGGGGATGCGAGGGAGGAGGGAACTCTAGGAGCCTATAGTGCTAGGAAAACGGGTTTGTTTTCCTGGCACTATATGATCCCTTTAAGTCTGACCACACTGAGGCTCTGCAATATGCCTCTGTCATATCCTTCTACTATTGGATCCATATCTAGGGTGTTGAATCTTATTGATTTCCTCAAACGCTGCCCCTATACATGTGGGCAGTGCAAGTCCTTTGCTCCCAAAATATAGCTTAGGGTTTAGTGAGTTGTGTTCAAACTTGTTAGGGAGCACATTACCTAACCATTATGCTCAATGGACAAAGATTCTGAGAAGACCTGCAGATACAAAAAAGTTCAGAAAATAGATTTCTATTTTGCCAAGGTCTTGA